TTCTAGGATCATCTCGTACTTACTTTGTCCTGGCCTCAGAATCACGGAAGGGCCCAAGTGGTAAAGCAGCTGGGGCTCCCTGCCAACAGCCATGTGAATGGACCCTCTGCAGAAATTAGATACTGCAGCCCCAGTCAAGCTTTGAGATGACCGAGCTCCTGCTGACATCTTGTTTTAGTTCGGTCTGCTATAACAAGATACCACAGGCCGGGTGGCCGGAACAACAAAAGTTCACTTCTCACAGTTCTGGAGGCTGGGAAGTCCAAGGATGCTGACGTCACAGGGCCTCCGCTCTCAAGACCTCATCTCTACTTAATTACCTCTCCGAGGCTCCACTTCCTAATACCATCCTATTGGGGGTTAGGGTTTCGACATACACATCTGAGGAGAACAAAGGCATGGGGTCCATAACATATCCTGACTGCCAGCTTAAGAGAGTCTGAGGCAGAACCACTTAATTTAAGTCCCAAATTCCAGACCCAAGGAAACTGTGTTTTAAGCCCCTAATCTTTTTGAATGTTTCTATATTTATTTTGAGAGAGAGAGCGCGAAAGAGAGAGCGAGCACAGGTGGGGCCTCCCCCACTTGTGGCAAAGAGAGAGGAAGAGAGAATCCCAAGCAGGCTCGGCACTGTCAGCACGGAGCTCCATGTAGGGCTCGGTCAAACGAACCGTGAGATCATGGCCTGAGCGGAAACCGAGAGTCCGACGCCTAACCGATGGAGCCACTCGGGTGCCCCTAAACCAGTACATTTTGAGGTTAATTTATTGCACAGAAGGGGAAGTGGGGTGCTTCTGGAACAAACACCCGACAGGTCGTGTTCCTTGTTCAGGACAGAACAAAGGGACGCCAGGACGTGGGGACCTTTTCCCTGCCTCTTCTCCACGCGTAATTATCTACACCAGAATTCCCCTCATGTCCCTTCTATGACAAGATGGGGTGGGAGTGAATACACATGTCCGTTCTATGACAAGATGGGGCAGCATGTCCCCTGCTCCCCGTGCCTACCTTGTGCTTTGTCCCGGGTCATGTGGGAGTGGCTTTGAAATGGGACAGTGGACAGAGGCTGGAAAGACTTTGAGGAGTGCGGGAAAGCTTGAAAAGCCACGAAAAAATGTCCCATGGAAATTCAGTCTCGGGGAGCCTCAGTGGCTCAGTCGGTTGAGCATCCGACTTTGGCTCAGATCCTGATCTGACGGTCTGTGGGTTCGAGCCCCGGGTTGGGGCTGTGCTGTCAGCTCAGAGCCTGGAGCCCGCTTCCGATTCTGTGTCTCCCTCTCTCTGCCCCTCCCCCACTCGCACTCTGTCTCTCTCAATACATAATAAACATTAAGAGTAATTAAAAAATAAAACGAATGCAGTCTCTGGGGAAGCTGTCAGGGGAGGCGGGGTGCTTAAAGAAAAGCAAGGAAAACCTCACTGCAAACTCTACTTGTTACTTTGTGGTGGAAAGTTTAGCGAGGTTTTCACCTGTATCAACATGGATGTGAAAAGTGCACCCGACAAACCGGCTGGTCTGTAGCTGAGGACATTGGAAGCAGACAGGAGAGAGAAAGTACAGGAAAGACTGTTAGAAACAGACAGGAGGCAGGACTTGTTGGTTTTGAACATTTTCTCCCTCTCCAGGTGGGAAATGATGCTGAGATTAAGAAATGACACGAGGTCAGATCAACCTGGGGCACGGCCGGGAGACACGGCGCAGAGGTGAAGCCTTGACCCCGCGACCAACAACAGCACCCCGAAGAGAGTGTGCCCCACCTGCTGGCATTCTAAACTCACGCGACTTAGTCTAATGTTAGACCTAAATCTGAATCCAGACTCTTAGCTACAAAGAGGTGAGGGAAATAAAGTTATTTGTGGGGTAACTATGTGCTTTTAGCTATGTGCTATGAAAGAAGAGAATGTTTTGGGGGGAACAGTTAGCAGTGCCATTCAGGTCCCCAGTCCTCTCTCATTCTAAGGGACGGAGGCCACACACTCAGTGGATGTAATGAGATGTGGACACATTGGTCCTTTGCCCCTCACCTCCAGCAGGCCATCTTGCCTGTAGAGGGAGACAAAGAGTTCAGACAATTGACTGGATCGGCACAGGGATCCGCCGACTGAGGGTGAAATATTTGGTTCTTCTCCTTCTTTTCCTATGGGGAATGAAGACGTGCCCCCCAACAAGCATGAAGGGCTCCAAAAGAATTTCACAGGGATTGGGGCGCGTGCCAGAGGTAAGCCTGGCACATGGGTGGTGGGAGCTCTCGGGCTTACCTTGGTACATCCAAGCAGAGACGAGTGAGGTGTTCTTGAAGAAGTGTGAGATCTGTTCCCTGGAGGCTCAGGATGTGTGAACTTGGAGACTGGTATTTGCTTCCTGCCTGGAGGATACTGAAGACCCAAGTCTGGCAGAATCTGCCTGTGGTGCAAGCAGCTGGTACTTGCTCCTAATGTCTGTAGGATCGAGACTGTGTCCTAGGCACGGTCCCAGTGAATATGGCCCCGGGGGAGCTGGGACAGGCCATCCTGATGAACGCTTGCTCACAAGGGCAGCCCTTGCTTAAGAGGACATAGTACGAGTAAGAGTAAGAGTCTGAGGGCTACACTGCACAGATGTCAGGGAGGAGAGGCTAACGAAAATTCTGGTGGACCCCATGACCAAGTCGGGGAGTTGCGGAGCTTAGAGATTCCTGTGAGGGTCACTGATGGACCTCGAAATGAGCTCTGTGAGCGGGCCAACATCTGTACCCCTGCCATGATGGAAAAAAGGACAGCCGACTGGCAATTGCCAAGAGAGAGGACATCCGTAGGTTTAGCTAAGTTAACAAACTTTTGATCCCTTTTATTATTATTATTATTATTATTGTTATTGTTATTAGTGGTAGTAGTTCTATTTCTCTCTACCCATTTTCTGAGCTGTTATGCCTCAAGAAGTAAGGTGATTGCAAGAAGAGGGTGAGGAGGTCCAGGAGAGGGAATGATGATACAGCTCATACCCTCCTACTTGTGGTTTTGATCCAGGAGCCTGGCCAGAACTGTAACTTGGACGTGATACTGAACTTTTGATTTAATTTTTTAATGTTTATTTATTTTGAGAGGGAGAGAGAGAGAGAGAGAGAGAGACATAGAGAGATAGGGCATGAGTGGAGGAGGGGGAGAGAGAGAGGGAGGCACAGAATCGGAAGCAGGCTCCAGGCCCTGAGCTGTCAGCACAGAGCCCAACGTGGGGCTCGAACTCATGGACCACGAGATCATGACTTGAGCTGGTTGGACGCTTCACCAGCTGAGCTACCCAGGCGCCCCTGAACTTTTATACTGGAATTTATGTTTCTAAGCCCAGAGACCTATGGTGAAATAGCCCCCCCCTCACAGCTGTCCTTCGTCAAGACCAAAATTTCTAATGTCTAAAATGAATTTTGAGTTGTGAGACCATTAGAAATGAATGTGATTCCAAAGACACAGAGCCTGCGTGAGGTGTGATGTGGTAAGGAAAGAAGAGATTCAACCCAGTATGTCTGAAGCCCGTGTAGGAGAGAATGAAGCCATTTTTTCTTTGTGCGCCCGTGGAAAGCAGCCCATTCAGTTTAGGGACTACAGTTGTCTTCATTGTACTTTGTGTCCCAGTCCCCCTCTGGCTGCTTTCCTGTTTGGTCAGAATGGACTGGATGATGTTCTTAATATCACTGAGACCATATTTACTTACTACAGCACTGAGATTGTGGCTTTGAAGTCATATAAAACCCTTTTTTTTAAACACACGAACTTGTTTTATGGTGGATCTTCCTGCACTTTATTATGCAATTTATTATTTTAACGTAAATGTATGACTGTTAAAATGCATCATATGAGTTTGGGCTTTCATTCTATTCTATTGAGATTTTCTTGGTCTCCTGATTGATGTTGAATGTGTTGGTTATTTTCCCTAGCTTAGAGCCCTCTGCCAATCAGATAAACGTGTTCAATTACTTAGGCTATAAGTGCAGGTGCTCAGACAGAGTTTCAGCATAACGGTGGCTTAAACAAGATAGAAGCATATTTCTTTCTTAACTCCCTGGGTATAAAGAGTCTTGGGCTGAATTCTCCTTGGGGTCAGAAATCTCGTCTGTCCACCATCTCTCGGCCAAGTAGGCTCACCAACATGCTTCTATTCTATTCAATAAGACGTGGTAAACGGCAAAGGGGGAGACACATCTTCCTTTTAAGGACGTCGTCCCCAGAACACATCACATCTGCTTTCATCCTGTTGGACAGAACTTAGTCACATGGCTACACCAGCTTGTAAAAAAAAAGCTGGAAATGTAGTCTTTCTTTTTTCTTTTTTTCCGGATGTTCATCTCCTTAGCTAAACATTCTATTCTCTGAAAGAAGAGGAAAATTGGAAGAAATGAGCAATCTTTGCCACACATAATTTCTGTGTTTGCATGTATGCAATTAGAGCTGTAACTTGTCATTGTTATGGGCATAACTGTGGTCTTAATCTGCAAGTTTATAATGCTTCCTTGATTAACATCCTAGGGTCGTGGATTTCAGTCAGACACAAATCCACCCAATGCCAAACCTGGTCCATTCTACATTTCTGTTTCTTTCCCTGAAGGATCACAGGACAGCCTCTTACTAAATATCTTACTGAAATCTAGATACCGTATGATTGTGGCCTTCCCATAATCTCCACCTACCACCCTATCAGCACAGGAAATGAGGTTTGCTCAGCATGACAATCTGAGTGAACCCAGCTTTTCCCTTATGGCTCTATTTTCTAAGAGCTCACCAGCCACCTATTTAACAATCCTGTCCAAAATTTTGCCATGAGAATTCATTTCAACTGTGCTCACCTGCAATTTTTGGAATTCATGCTGTTTCCATTTTGGAAAGTCAGATGGACTATTCTGTAAGTGCCTATTTTCAACTTGAAGTTCCCTGTACTATTTTTGTTACTTCCCAAAGATTGCAAATTCTTTTAATACCACAAGGTATTAGTTTGCTAGGCTCGCAATAACAAAATAGCCCAAATTGGGTGGCTTCGACAGCAGAGATTTATTTTCCACAGGTCTAGAGGCTGAAAGTCCAAGGCCAAGTTGTCAGCCGGTTTGGTTTTCCCTGAGGCCTCTCTCCTTGGCTTGCACATGGCTGTCTTCTTGCTGTGTCCTCATACGCTCTTTCCTTTGTGGAGTGCCCCTTGTGTCTCTTTGTGTGTCCAAATCTCCTCTTCCTGTAGGGATACCAGTCAGGTTGAATTAGAGTCCACCCCAACGCCCTCATTCTAACTCAACACATCTTTAAAGATCCTGTCTCCAAATACTGTCACATTTAGGGTACTGGGCACCAGGACTTCAACACGGAAATTTAGAGGGGATGCAGTTCAGCCCATAGGATATGGCATAAATATCTTCTGTGATTTAAGTCATAATTTCATTTAAAGGAATCAGGTACTTTCTTATTTCGGGAAATTGGGGAGGTAAAAAGATGGCCGAGGCTTTTGTTAACTTGGAAGTTTGTTCGAAGTGCATATCAGAGTCTCACTCCAGACCTACTTGGATGGGAATCTGCATTTCACAAGACCCACAACCCTACCCCAGCACTGATTTGTGTGCCCAGTAAAGTCTGACCACTGCTAGGCCAGGGACCCAGTCATTCTTCCACAGGTGACACCTTTTTCCCCAAGAGGTTCCTGATAGAAATACATACAGAAGGGACATTAGCAAAGGAAACCAGAGTACCATTGCATGGCTATCTGGGTTTGGGGTGAAAAACTCAATGAAAAGAACTCTCTGGTAACCTAGATTGGAGCATGAGGAGAAAAGCATTAACCCCCATATTTTCTGCATCCAAGTGACAATCTAGATATGACTTTTCTCGTCAACCATATATAAAAGAGAGATTTTTTTTTTTTAAAAAGGGGACACGGCTGTTCTTGGGTCAGGTTCCTGATGCCTGGGTGGCATACCTTAGGGGAGAGGGAGAGAATAGGGCTGAGGAGAGTGTTGTGAAGTGATGGGAAGCGGTAGGAGAGGAAGGGTGCGTCCCCTGTATTTGGACCTCGTTTTGATCCCAGCAGCCTTCTCCTCCCGTGCCTCTCTTGTTGACATTACCAGTCTCCGTTTCCAGTTGAAATATCCACCCAAACTTTCAGGGTCAGGTTCTGTGATGTCAGAATAAGAAGAGCATGATGCCTTCTAGGGCCAGTGGGCCCCGCCCTGCTATGGTCTATGGTCCATTTGGGTGAACAGTGAGCCTTCCTCATCCCACGTTTTTTACTACCTCCTTCTCTAACCCACCTTTTCATGCGTGTCCTTCAGATTTCAACTGTGATGTCACTTCTATCAGGAAGCTTTCATTTCCCCCTCGAGACTGAATTAGGAGCCCTCCTCCTCGGAGAGCACTTTCTGCACCCGGCAGTGATGGCTGGTCTACTCATCTGCCTTCTGCTCTGTGATGACATGGGCTTTGTTCCCCATCAAACCTCCCACGTGGCGGGGGGTCTGGTTCAAAACCCGCAGACGTGTTTCACTGGTATGATTGTTAAGCTGGTTGGAAAATTATGTTTCTACGGTTTTAAAGATGCATATATGGTATATTTTATAGAAGAGATATTTATATTGTTACTGCAGTAAGGCTGCATATTCATGGAAATGTTCCCAAATATCTTTTTGCAAAATGCTTAATCCATAGACTGAGTTTTGAAAAGCAGTTTCTTTTTCAACTGTTGTTAAAAAGTTCTCTTGCTTTTTAAGGGGCAGATTAAATATGATTTTTTTTCCTGAAACTGTTTTTTTTTTTTTTTTTTTTTTTTAGTAGCAAACTACTTAGAGCTGCTTTTCATCGTAGAAAAGGTCAGCAAACTGGGAACACTTGTCACTTTGTAAAAGAATTATGTGCAGCTCAACTGTAAATTTGACAATTATTTAAAATAACTTGCCACAAACTAAACCATGAACTTCTTTGTAGAACAACACATTTGCACCATCTCTCACCTGTTTCATTGTGAAATACCATATATTTTCTACTGTATTATAAAGACTCTGACAAAATTGGCCACATAAACAATAATCTGTGGCCCTTGATACATTTCTGGCTTCAATGTCTTTGCTGCAATGATCTTTTATATATATATATAGTGAATGTATTTTAATGTATTTTAAGTGTGGTATTATCTCTACATTTAATCTGGGGCATTTTTAAGGTCTGTTCATGGTGGTTGAGGGCAACTCTTCTGTGTTGTGGTATTCCTGCCTTTCTCAGGGTACTTACCCACCGTAAGAGACCCCTGTCCGCTGACATAGTACCTAATAAAGATGCAATATAGTGTGCATATTAGATATTGATCAAGATTAACTTCTCTTTCAGTTTTAGCTAAAAATGATATAGAAATTAAAGCATATTTAATCTCACCCACTGGTAGATTGACCCCATGGTCATATAATAAACTCCCAAATATATTTGAATTTATTAGTTGTCCTTCACTGCTATTCCAATTATCTATAATTCTCTCACTGTGCCTAATATCACACTGTCTTAATTATTCTAACCTTAAAATAAGCCTCGTTGTGTCATATGGCAAATTTCATCTCTCTTTTATTTTTTGAGAGTTGTCTTAGCTTTTCCTGAACTTATAATCTTCCGTATGAATTTTAGATTCAATCCATCAAGCTCCATACATATGTGGTGCAATTTTTGTTAGAACTGCATTGAATTTATAGACTAATTTGGAGAGACATCCAAATTAAATTCTTATCATGCGGACCCTTTCCGCCTATGAATACCTCTCCATTTATTTAGGTCTTCTTTGAAGTCCTTCAATAATGTTTTAGGATTTTTCCCCTCATAACTTGTTACATTTTTGTTGCATTGATTGCACATATCTGCAACATCTTGTATTTTGGTGCTATTGTGAATGGGATCTTTTGGTCAAGGGGTGTGAATGGAAACACGTAAACTAATTACGTTTCCCTCCTTCCCTATGCCCCAAGCTACTTGTGTCCCTTGAGCCATTGGATACATACAACTTTATGCCCTGTGACATAGATGAGGCCTCGGGCTCTATTTAAATCTCAGCTGAGAGATATCCCACTGGGCACCAGGCTTTTGGTGACAGTGAATGGAGAGCTTGTTGGGACCCTAATCAGTAGACTGGGAGATGAAGCACAAGAATGACTTCAGAGGACAGAGCAAATGTATAAAGAGGCTGAAATGATGAGGGAGAAGAGACAGGGATACATTCCCAAGACTTAATATGTGAATAATTACTAAATAATTAGTAAAAGTTATTCCATATTAGTAAAGAAGCCCTGAAAGGAAATATGCATGAGGTGGGGTGAGACTTAATCTGGAGACTGAAAAATTCCCCAAGTTATAAAGAGGATTGAGGAGAAAAGACAGAACCCAAGCACATCCTGTGAAATTCATTAAAGTGGGGGATAAAGACTAAAAACCTATAGGCTTCCAGGAGGAAAGAAACAAGTTATTACAGAGTAGACGTTTGTTTGTTCTTAATGATTAGGTTAAATATTTTATTCTGTGGCAGAGAAAAATACAAATTTTATGTGGTGGGCTTGAATCCAGCAATCTCGATACATTTTTCTAATGTATTTGAATACATTATTTGAAGACCTAAATAAATGGAGAAGCGCACCCTATTCATAGATGGAAAGTGTCAGCATGATAAAAATTCAGCTCGGGTGTCTCTCCAACTTAGTCTGTAAATGCAATACATTAGAATACATTTGATTCTAATGATGTTTTTGAAAAATTTCTTGGCTTTTCTCTGTAGATAATTGCATTATCTGTAAGTAATGAAAATTGTGGTTTTTCTTTTCCAGTTCTTAAAAATTTGATTCATTTTGTTGTTGTTGGTTATTGCTTTTACTCAGCCCTCCCCGGACTGTGAATGATAAAAATGGTGATGCCTGAGAAAATTCTTGAAGTGCCCCCATTCTCTGTAAGGTTTGTTGTAGACTTTTGGTAGAAATCCTTCATGAGACCTTATAGTTTTAGAATATTAAAAGCATTTGTTACTCATGAGCTGTGAAATTTGATTAATTTTTGTTTTTCACTTATTTAGATGGTCATCTAATTTTCCTCAATCTATTAATGTGTGAAGTTTTTGTAATAGCAAATTATCTTTGCATTTCTGGAATAAACTGTACTTGGTCATTCTGGGGTTTTGTTGCTGTTACATTTCACCAATTTTTACAAAATGTTATATTAATAGATTGTGCTTGCTAATATTTTATTTAGGATTTTTTTTTACGTCTACTTTATGAAATTGACCTATAATTTTCCTTTCTTGAACTGTTCATGTCATGTTTTGATCTCTAGGAAAATTTCTCCTTTTTTCTATTCTTTGAAATTGCTTTATATATTATGTAAATATTATTTGTGGAAGATTTGGTAACCGCTCTGAGTTCCCCTTGGAGGAAAATATCAAAATAAATTTATATATAATGGTTTATAAATCATCTTGTGTATAAAATAACTTTATTAATTCACATTTTTCTCAAAAATTATACATTTGACTAAGTTTTCAGTGTACTGGCATGAAATTGTTGATGATACTCTGTTGGCTTTAAAAATCTCAAATGTATTGATAGTTATTTCCCATTTTCCCCTAAAGTTGTTATTTCTTTTCTTTTTGATTGATGTCTTGATTTCTTTTTTCCTGACTAATATTGCCAGATTTTTTTGTGCTACGTAATTTTTAAAATATATGTGTCTTACAAATGATGTCTATATTTTCCGGTCAATTTTATTTATTTTGGCTCATACATAGTCCTTTCTTCTTATATTTGAATTCATTGATTTTTCTCCAGATTCAGAAACTGAATACTTAGTTAATTTATTTTCAATATTAAAAAAAAAAATACCGAGACCATACATTTTTCTATTTAAGTCACATTTGGCTCTATTTCCTAAGTTATGGTACATAGTAGTTTTTAATGCTGTTTTGTTCCAAATATGTTGCAATTTTTATTGTGATCTTTTCTTTAAACTATACATTATTAGATAATACATGGGGGGAAAGGGACTAAGATAGACCCAGGCATGTATAACATTTGCCATTTCTTTATTGTTTTATTTCCAGTTAAACTGGGTTGTTATCAGGGAATTTATTCTCAGCAGAATATCAGTGCCTAAAATATGCACGAGTTCTTGAAATTTATCACAATATCCTCATGATCTAGTAGGCAGGGCATTCTTTGCAAATATTTCATGTTTGCTTTTACATTAAACTTAATTTTGTCATTAAAATCTTTAGCCTCAATAATATTTTCTTAACTAGGTGTTTCTGTTTGATAGAGGTATGTCAACTTTGCATTGTAATCCTGTCACTTCTGGGCTCTATGTATTTTGTAGCTATGTGCATGAGGGCATGCAATTTCACGATTTTCATGCTTCATTGTTAGAAAGTTTCCCTTTGTTGTTACACAGTAGCTTTTTACGTCTATTGATTATTTTTCCTGAAATTCTATTTTGTCTGATAATAATTTTCTGTGTTGGAATTTATTGCTTTTTGGTATTTGTCTGGAACATAATTTGCTGTGTATTTATTTTAAATATTTTCATGAGGTTTTGTTTTAGTAGCTTTTGAAAACACCAGATAGCTGAATAAAATCCACGTAATAATCCCCATTAAAAAAAAAATCAAAATTTATTTTTGACAGAGAGAGAGTGTGAGTAGAGGAGGGGCAGAGAGAGCGGGAGACACAGAATCCCAAGCAGGCTCCAGGCTCTGAGCCGTCAGCACAGAGCCTAACAAGGAGGGGTTCGAACTCACCAGCCTTGAGATCCTGACCTGAGCTGAAGTCCAATGCTTAATTAACTGAGCCGCCCAGGCGCCCCTCCCCATCTTTAATAGAAGCATTTATTCACATTTTTAAAGTTACTAGTGGGTTTGTATTTACTTCCACTACCTAATTTACCCTGTCTGGTTTACTGTCCCTTTTCTTTGTCTCTTTCCCTTCTTTTCCTCACTTCTATTGGATTGATAGAATTTTCTTTATCTTCAGTTATCTGAAAATACCTAAGTTGACCATGATTTTCTCTGGGCACTTTGAGGATATTATTCCGTTGTAATCTGAACCTTCTGATTTTTCATCAAAGTCTGCAGCTAGTCTAACCTGCCGTTCACTTTTTCTTTTTTTGAATGAGCACATGTCAAAGATTTATTTAAATCATGAATGAGAAAATTAAAAAGTTGGTGAGCTGGCTCTAAAAAGTGTAAGAGGGGCAGAAGTATTTAGTCCTGAAAGAAAAAGTGCCACATCCCATACAAAACTGGTTAATGCACAAGACTGGAGAATATCACAGTTATAAGCAATACAACTCTCACCTTTGTGATGAACACTTCTTAACCAGACAGAAGCCATTTGCTTATCTGCAGGGTAAAATTCATTTCCATTGCCCATATGACAAAAATAATTTGAGTAATTATTATTTTTATACAGCGTGAAGTCTATCCTTATAGATTTGTAGCATACCCTAGTTAATAGTAAATGATTAAAGCATATATGCTTAGAGAATCAGACAATCCTTGGGTAGTCCTGTTGGACAATGCTCTGGGTATGATTGGAAAGGATATGAGCCATCTTTTCATCTATTTCCAAGTTCTGGATTTTTAAAATGTGTGTTTATAAATTTTCTCCATGGAATATTCTTGTTTCAAAAAGGCGTGGCCTCATGGGTGCAGCATTCAATATTAATGAATACATATATGCACTATAGGATAGTCATCAAGTCTAGAGTCATATGGTATTAAGCAACCATCAAAATAAAAAACATTGTCAAAGATTTTATAAAAACCCAAGATTGCATTTTTCAATAATCTCTATTCCCCAGTGCTTAAATAAATCATTGCTTGTATTTCTTCTATTTTGAGGCTAAAAAGCCAACCCCCAGAAATCTATCTCTGTCAGATTCTGCCTGAAGTACCTAGGAATCTGTGTGAGTTCCTCTTTCTGAAATGTCTCCAATCTCCTAAGGTTTCTCCTAATGTCTCCCTGTAAGTCTGGGACCCTGTAAAATAGAACATGAGAACAGTTTTCAAGGAGAACTTTGTAGGCGTTGGTTCCACCCATGAAGTGCGAACCTTGACCCTTAATGGTGGGTTTTTCATAACTGAATAAGTGAGATTTATTCTGAAACATGACACTCTAGGTACAGCCTTTATTAAAAAGTTTGTTCAATTACATTCTGATTAGTTTCAGTAAATGAATGCAAATAATTACCTGGCCATTAAAGGTAAAGAAACTCAATGGAAGTATTTGTTTCTGAATTTGGAGGAGTTAGAGGGGACAAAAGGCAAACATAGAGTTATTAAACTGAGATTAGACATAGATCAAGAAGATGACCCAGCAATTCCTTTCTTAAGTATATACCCCAAAGAATTACAACAGGGCCTCAAGCAGATGCTTGCTCACTGCAGAATTATTCACAACAGCCAAAGGTGGAAACAATCTGGATGTCTATCAACTGATGAATGGATAAAGAAAATGTAATATATACACATAATAGAATGTTATTCAGCTATAAAAAGTGATGTTCTAGGGTGCCTGGGTGGCTCAGTCGGTTAAGCATCTGACTCTGGATTTTGGCTCAGGTCATGATTTTGAGGTTCGTGACTTTGAGCCCTGGATCGATCTCTAGGCTGACTGTGCAGAGCCTGCTTGGGATTCTCGCTCCGTCCCTTTTTTCTTCCCCTCCACCATGCGCTCTCTCTCTTTCTCAAAAATAAATAAATAAACTTAAAAAAAAAAAACAGTGAAGTTCTGATAAATGCTACAAAATAGATGAAACTTGAAAAATCTTATGCCAAGTGAAATAAGCCGGATGTAAAAATTCAAATATAATCCTCCCCTCCCCCGGCCATCCGTGATCTCCCCTTTTGCTCTCTGTGGTCTCAGTTACCTGTGGTCAACCGCAGTCCAGAAACAGATGGTCCTCCTTCTGACATATGGCCAGAAAGTCAATAGCAACCCAATGCTATGTCTCAGTGCCTAGGTCATTCCCGTCATTTCATGTCATCACGTAGGTGTTTTATCATCTCACGTCTTTACAAGAAGGAAAAGGGTTTAGGCACAGTTTTGAAAGAGAAAGAGACCACATTCCCATATATTTATTATAGTATATTGTTATAATTATTCTAGTTCATATTATGTATTGCTTTTAATCTCTTACTGTGCTTAATTTACAAATAAATTACCATAGGTATGTGTGTATAGGAAAAAAACATAGTATACATACAGTTTGGTACTATCCCTGGCTTCAGGCATCCACTGTGGGTCTTGGAACGTATCCCTCTGGATAAGAGTGTATCAACTATATTGTATAATTCCACTTGCATGATGTCTCTAGAACAAGAAAATTTATAGAGACAGCAAATAGATTAGAGGTTACCAGGAGCTGGAGAATGGAGAACAGAGTTTCTATCTGGGGCAATGACAAAGTTTTGGAACTAGATATGATGATGCTTGCCCAACATTGTGAACGTAATTCATGCCACTCAATTGCACTCTTAAACATAGTTAAGATGGCAAATTTTTTTGTTATAAATGTTTTACAACAATTAAAAAGAAAAAAAAAAAAAAGGAAAGCAGCTGAGATCAAGAAAGAAAGCGCCTTCCCATATAGCCAGAAAATAGAACATTAAAAACCCTACCAGCATTATTCCAAAATAAATGATCACAATTAGATGTTCTTGTTGAGTTCCTTCAGTCATTCTTAATTTATTCTTCTTCCATTAGAGCTTGAGTCATCAGTTGGCGTCTATAAAAGTATCTGGTACTGAATTACAAAGCATCCTGGAAATCCCACGTCCCTCTGCAATTTTCTAAGCGATGTCACCTTCTAAGTCTATTTTCTGAAATATCAATTGTTAAAAAATACCTGGCAGAGTCCTTTTCGTGAGCTCTGAGGCTGTTCTTTATTGCAGACCAAATTTCTGGCTTGTGGCTTAAAGGAGAGCCTTCAGGCGAGCATGAGAGAGAAGCGGAAGCCGTATGTTGATGACAGAATAGGTAACAATATCAGAATGTAGAGTAGCAGAGTTCTCTGTTGGAGTATGATGCATACCTCTTTTGTGAGGTTGTGATCAATGTATCCCTTTAGAATAGAAACTATGTTGTGTTCTATACTGATAAAATCGAGGGAAAGTCACATTCCCGAAGCCTTGAGCAGATAAAATTCCAGTGATGTGCTTCCAATGCCTTACTGCATGTTTGATTTTTTTTTTTTTTTTTTGCTGTTGCTTATGTATAGAAAGGGATAACATCAGCAGATCTAGCAAATAAATACTGCAGCTCCACTCTGTGCCCACAGTTCCATTTTATATCACAATGCATCATTGCTCCAACAAAGATATTTGTGGTTTTAATTTTCTCTGGCAGCTACAAAGTAATTTTCCCTTCATTGTACTAATTGAGGGATCAATTTTTTAAAAATCGGCAAAGTCAACAATTTTTATACATTGGAGGCTGGCGTATGTTTCTTTCCTTTGGATCAATGGTGCCGACCTTTATAACCTCTGCTAAAAAATATAAGATTGGAAGTATACCTCTCCACCTCTCTGAAGCCTACAATCCCCATAAAGTTGGTCCATTAATTACAAATTGTTAATATGAGTTATGCAGAGTAGCTTGTGCTCTGTTTTCTACCAAAGAACTTTATTCCAAATCAGCTGACGCTGACAGCTGATTCAATACACACGTATGTAAAACAATTTTCTATTAAACAACTCTTGGGATAGAAAAACAAGTTGTTTAATTAAAGTCTAACTGACTTTCTTCCCAAGTTATGTGCCTATTTATTCATTTAAATGAGCTTAATAACAAATACGGTTGTGACGATAAGAAAAATAACACAAGTAATCACTCTTCAGAAAGCAAGATATTAGATTACAGTTCACCACAGGGAGATTTCTTTCTACGTGTTGTTTTTTTTTTTTTTTAGCTCCTATTAATGTCATATGTGGGACTCCTTCCTTGTATCTGGTCCCATCCTCTCTCCAGATTAGGGCTGGTTACTGGGGACTCGACAGGTTCAGGTGGAAGGTGATCACAGGTGAACATTAAATCTAGAAGGCCTGAGCTTCAGGGAGGGTCTAAGTAGGAGAATGGGCTAGCAGGTGGCAATGTCACAGCCTTGGCCAGGAGACAGTTTATTCTGGCAGAGGGCTGGTGGGAGACGTGTGGAGGTGGGTGCAGAGCCTTGAGGTCGGGGAGACCTGACCTTGGGGGAAGCAAGGTGGTGTTAGGGCTCCAGAGAAAGTGAGCCAAGGAGGCGCTAAGTGGGAAAACAAAGCAGGAATTTTTGTGCTTAAAGAAGCACCTTTTGCTGACTCTTTCAAAATGGTTTGTCTCAAGTCTGTGTTCACGACGACAAGGCAAGGGCAGTGTTGGTCTGGTTCACTGCTAAGATCATGGTATTTAGTAGAGTTTCTGGCATGTAGTTGGTGCCAGTAAATACTACTGAGTTAATGAATGGAAGGAAGCAAAATTTTGGGGGACATAGTTTCCGACATTTTATAAATCAAGGGGCTTGGTTCCAAAACAAACAAGAGCCCAAATGAACCTCGACACGAACTCAGTGTGGCCCCAGATCCCACAACAGAGGGGATCCTGCTTGTAGAGTTCACATGGCTCCCGTGGGAACACATGTAGGTGCCCAGGGTGGGGAAATATGCCAGTCCTACACATTATCTTCTTTCCTTCATTTTCTTTTCCTTTCTCTTGTGGCTCCTGGCTTCTGGGTTTATGGTCTGCTAGTTGGCTGTACCAGAAAACTGAGGTAAGCACACAGAGCATGGATCCAGGAAGTGGGGGATACATGAAAAGGGTAACAGAGTTGAAGCCAGGTGAAGAATCTAAATCCTGAATAAATAATTGAGCCATCAAAGAAGTGTGAATTCAAACAAAAATGAGCTCTGATTTTCATCCCTTCATATGGGACAAACAACTGCTATCTCACTGCTGGGAGATTTCCCTTCCTTCTTCCTCCCTCCCTCCCTTCCTTCCCTCCTTCCTTCCTTTCTTCCTTCTTCCCTCCCTCTGTTCATCCCTCCTCCCTTCCTTCCATCCTTCCTTCTTTCCTTCTTTCCTCCCTTCCTCCCTTCCTCCCTCTCCCTCTCCTTCCTTCGTGTGTGTGTGTGTGTGTGTGTGTGTGTGTGTGTGTATTTGGCTAGAGCAAAATGTGGATCTTAAAATTGTTGGTAATGAAAAGCTTGCTGTTTGGTGAGTCTTAAGAAATCTCTGCATTCTGGGGTGGCAGCTGGAATTTGTCCCCAGCAGATTCTTCATTTGTCTTTCCAACGGTGGAAGAGATCATCACTTTGGGATGTTGAGACAAATACATATAGGCGCCCAGAGTTCTTGGGAACAGCACCAGGATCTGCATGAAGGACCTTCAGATATTGGTCTATTAAATTATGTGCAAGTAATATAAGTTTGTCTCATTTAGGGGAAAATTTTATCTCTGTGAAATTTTTATAATAATATTTTCCTTTGGCTGAAGATGACAAGTTGCATTTTGGTCTAGAATGAAAGCTGACGCCTTGATCTTGGACTTTCCAGCCTCCAGAACTATGAGAAATAAATTTCTGTTGTTTATAAGCCACCCAGCTTGTGGTATTTTTGTTACCACAGCCCGAACAGACTAAGACAAGTAGCAGAGAAATTTAAAGAGATTTAAAGTACTAAAAAATTGGAAAACATTTTTTTCATGTATATTCTATTCTCCATTTTCTAACTTCTAGCTCTAGTAAACTTTGTATGGGCTATCATCATTTTAGCTGTGATTTAGGAAATTAAGTATGAAACCTATGTCTATACATGCAGTGCAGTGGCCTGGATTCAGGTAAGCCATAGTGTTACAGGAATGAATTAACTAAATGGAAGAATGACGTGCAGAGAGGCCCGGAGCAGTATTCTGAAATGGAAGGGACAGCCATCTGCTGGGATGAATGTGTGGATACTCTAACAGTACCCTGAGGAGTCTCAGAAATAACCCAACATAATATGAGGAAAGTGTGTTGTCACACAAGATGCGACTGTGACTGCTCATTGGGTATTGAAAGAAAGGATAAAAAAAATTTTTTTAAATGTTTATTTATTTATTTATTTTGAGAGAGACAGAGCATGCGAGGGAGAGGCAGAGAGAGCGGAGAGAGAGCGCATCCCAAGCAGGCTCCACACCATCATCAGGGAGCCCAACATGGGGCTTGATCTCGCAAATTGTGAGATCATGACCTGAGCTGAAATCAAGAGTCAGACACTTAACCAACTGAGCCGCTCAGGTTCCCCAAGGATAAGAATTTTGTAATTGGCTAAATTCAATGTATGTAAAATTATTGATTGGAATATATATATATACATTAGCATAATCTGTTTGGGAAGTTATTAAGAAATAGTATCACATTCATACATTTTGGCCCTGGAATCCTATTTTATCAGCGGTTGACTTTAAAGACAGTGATAAGTGATGTATTTTTTACTTTTATATTTTTTCCTTTTCAACAATGAACACATTGTAATTGAACAAAATATACTTTATTGTTAAAAACTATAAGCTTTGGGGGCACCTGGGTGGCTCAGTCGGTTAAGCATCTGACTCTTGATTTTGGCTCAGGTCATGAGCTCATGGTTCATAGGATCAAGCCCTACATTGGGCTCTGAGCTGCCAGTGAGGAGCCTGCTTGGGAATCTCTCTCTCCCTCTCTCTCTCTGCCTTTCTCCTGCTCTCTTTCTCTCTTAAAAATACGTGTTGATAAGAAAATTTTTCTAATTTATGTTAAGTGGAGAAAAAGTGAAAAACAACGATGTATAGTACAATTCAATATTGTAGAAACATTTATTATGAGCATCATATAATTTTAATATGTAAATTATATTATACATCAAATCATATTCATAACTATTCATGATATGTGTTCCTAAATTATATATTTAGTTATATATTAAATGATATAGTAAATATTAATATTTAATATCATTGCTTTTAGGATGTATGTCAGTATATATTTCTTAAAGATAATCGACAAAATGTTAAAATGATTACCTTCAGGCACCAGTGTAGGTATGGGTAAGTTGTAGGGAGGGTATTTTGACTTTCTAATTTTTAATTTATATTTTGAAAATCTGAGGGATGTACTTAGTGAGACCAGAACCAAAGCAATAAAAGGATAGAAAGGATGATAATTATTCTAAAACGGCCCAGGAAATAAAGGCACAGAGTGAAGACCCAAAGATGTGTAAGAGCATGCTGATTCCTGGGGAGGGGACGCATATTCTGGATCAGTGGCGATGGGGAATGAGGACTAAACTGTGAAGAAATTAGAAAAGAATCCAAATGAGAGAAAGTAGGAAAAGGCAATAAAAGAAGACCAAATTTCCACTGGAATCAAGGTGAAGATCTTTATTCCTTATTATGGGTAAGGTTTCCGGTCCACAGTAGGTTATCAGTAGCTAAGTTTTGGGGGAGTCAAAAGTTATATGCAGATTTTGGACTATGTAGGGGTTGGTA